TTTAAAAAAAAAAAAAAAAAAAAAAGTGAGCATTTGCCTTCCCAGTATGATTTCCACATTTTGGTTGCTGCACCCTTAACCAAAGGTGCTCAGTGTAACCAAAACTCCAGTTTTGCTTATGGTTAACAACCTTTTGTGATGTGTGTTTCTTTTCTTTTTAAATTATTCTAGGCTGATGCACCTAATCCGGGACTCATTCCAGATGCAGATGCAGTAGGTGTAACAGTTGTGCTAATTACATGCACCTATCGAGGTCAAGAATTTATTAGAGTTGGTTATTATGTAAATAATGAATATACTGAGACAGAACTAAGGGAAAATCCGCCAGTAAAACCAGACTTTTCTAAGGTAATGCTCTGATTATTCCTTTTTCATTAATTTTACTATACAACTTTTTTAAGCAATTGCCATTTCATGGTACACTATGAAGATGGCTTTGAGACAAAATAAATTTGAGGTCCTTGTGCCAACTGAGCAAACTAATCTTTGTTCCATTACCATGGATGACCTCAAACCCTACCTCCAGATTAGTCATTAGTAATTACTGTTGGTTCGGCACCTTGAGAGTCTCTGATGATTTAGAAAATTGAAAGTGCCTCCTATAAGAAACAGGTCTCTATTAATGGCTCCCTGTATGGCATTCCCCATACGTCATGATTCTATCCATTTCAGTCTTTAGACATTCAAATTCATGTTTGTTGTACTGATTATTCAATAATATTTTTGTAACTCTTCCCAAAATTGTGGGGGGAAGTTTTGTGTTTGTTTTTCATAGGAACACTGTTATCTCAAAACTCCTATACGCCTTACTTTATGTGCTATTCTCAGAGGTTAAACTAAAGGTCTTAAATATTATCTGGTGGTGCAAACAGCTTAGCTTCTGAGTGAGAAGCTGAAAATCTGTGATTTGGTATTCTCAGAAATACTAAGTACTTTATGATTTTCCATTGGGAGCTGTAATAGTTTAGTCACTGGTGATTTTTGTGAGATTGAACATAACACTCTATCTGCCAGACCATGCAAGAAAAATGACATGGGAGTAGAATGGAATGTTCTCCTTTCTGATAATAAGGCTGGAAGGTTTTTTATTCTGATGTGGAACGTCCCATTTGTAAGTTATTAGTTACGTGTATGGTTCCTTGTATAGCAAAAAGAGAAGACACTAGAATATTGTTTCTAAGAATGAGCCATAATAATTAAAAGATAGGAAACCATTAATAATGAGAGGTCATATGTGGGAATATTTTTCATTTTCCTTGAAAATATTAGTGAAGAAGCACCACATTAATCTAGAAAGCATGTTAATTTGTTAAATAAAGCATCCTCTGAAGCATTCAAGAGATTCTCTCCCCTTTAGGAAACAAGTACAGAGTTAGAATATTTTGTTGGATAGTAAAAGAGCTGGATAATTCCCTCAGGTTCTCCACATCTTGCTTCCATTAGACTAAAATAATTTCTTTGCTTCGGCCCTATTTCTTGTTTATGTTATGTTTAATGTGCTTTACTTGACTTACACTTCTGTATATGAATTAGCCCTTTAGGAGTACTAATAGAAAGAACCATTCTATTAAGGTCTGTTTGTGTATGGTAATCTAACTTTCTTAGTGTTTACCATTTATATATTTCCTTCTTCCTCTAGCTTCAAAGGAACATTTTGGCATCCAATCCCAGAGTCACAAGATTCCACATTAATTGGGAAGATAACACAGAAAAACTGGAAGATGCAGAGAGCAGTAATCCAAATCTACAATCACTTCTTTCAACAGATGCATTACCTTCAGCATCAAAGGGATGGTCCACATCAGAAAACTCACTAAATGTCATGTTAGAATCCCACATGGACTGCATGTGACCACCTGCCATCCCTATAGTACAAATTAAGCTATAAAAACACACAGAACTATTTCCCTGAAATTC